AGTTTTTATGGTTACACCACTTAGACATTTTTGCCATTATCCTATTATTCTCTCAAAATGTATTAAAAGCAGAAATTTTATACTGGATCCACACAAAATTAAAGTTTGTTAGTTAATCATACATTTATTTTCAAATTTTAACCCTTTTAAATTTGACTAACCCATATGAACACAAAAAAAGTAGCGTGTCGTTATTGACCCAACCACAGCTAAAGTCAGACTAGTATAATAGTCAGAATCTGTTTATGGTCAGAATGGTGTAAATCTCTTTTAGCCTTTGGCAGCCAAATATGGAACAACAACTCGCAAAGCAAAAACTTAACATGTAACATGATGACATGAGAGCACATACGTAGCTGCTGATTAGCTGCCTGCGTCCAGTCAAGATTTATCCAGCATAAAAGTATTATCATATCCCGTCCTAATGTTCCAAATAAAAGTAGCAGAACTGCACAATATTGATATGAGTTTTAGAGGTGGCAGTGGCACTCTGTTTGTTGGTGGGTTTTCTACAAAGTACATGTAATGCATCAGGTCAAAAATGACTGATTAGGCCTTTAAGCCTTGGGTTTAATTATTTTTCAATTTTATTCTTCCTCAGGAGGCTCCTTTTGGCCACTCAGCACCGCACCCCCTGCTGCTGAGAGCCCCCCTGATGACCCAGTCCTGCCTGACTACGAGGAGGAGGAGGAAGAGGTTGGCGTTGTCGGGGTGGATGACGTGGACATGCTTCAGGCTGGTAAAATAGAGGATGAGCAGCAGCTTCCACCACCTGCTCCCTTTCCTGCTTACCACCTTGCTCCCATTGCTGTTCCTCATCCTGTGCCTTATGCTAATCGCAATGGTCCTTACGATTTCCCTGCTTACCCTTATGCTGCTCCTTACCCTTATGCTGCTCCTTACCCTTATGCTGCTCCTTGTCCTCATGCTGCTCCTCGCCCTTATGCTGCTCCTCGCCCTTTTGCTGCTCCTCGCCCTTATGCTGCTCCTCGCCCTTATGCTGCTCCTCGCCCTTATGCTGCTCCTCGCCCTTATGCTGCTCCTCGCCCTTATGCTGCTCCTCGCCCTTATGCTGCTCCTTGCCCTTATGCTGATCCTCGCCCTTATGCTGCTCCTCGCCCTTATGCTGCTCCTTGCCCTTTTGCTGCTCCTCGCCCTTATGCTGCTCCTTGCCCTTATGCTGCTCCTCGCCCTCATGCTGATCCTCGCCCTTATGCTGCTCCTTGCCCTTATGCTGCTCCTCGCCCTTTTGCTGCTCCTCGCCCTCATGCTGATCCTCACAATTATGCTGCTCCTCGCCCTCATGCTGATCCTCGCCCTTATGCTGATCCTTGCCCTTATGCTGCTCCTTGCCCTTTTGCTGCTCCTCGCCCTCATGCTGATCCTCACAATTATGCTGATCCTCGCCCTCATGCTGATCGTTGTCCTTTTGCTGCTCCTCGCGCTTATGCTGATCATCGCCCTAATGCTGGTGGGGAACAGGAACCGGATGAGGACTCGGACGTGAGCTTGTGGGACGTGGACTGGGACTCTGAGAACAGCCGTTCTATTTCTCCGTTTGATGCTGAAGACTTCGGGCCCATCTCCCAAGAAGAATCTTCTGAGGATTTTGAAGATGCTGTGGTCCTTGAATCTTCTGGCAGTGCCTCCTCCATGAAGAGGACCAGGGAGGACAGCGATGGGGAGGAGGCTGCTGCGAAGAGGCGGAGATGGGCTGAAGAGAGTGACTCGGATTGACTCAACGATGGATGGGCTGAATATTCTGCTTGAGACATCGGAGCAATCACACATCCGCTCTTCATCACCTCCACATTACAGCAGGAATAGTGATTCCTATGGCAGCCTTTGCGTCTTGCGGGGCTGCTAACACCCCAGATAGCGTCTTGCTCTGGGACCACCGGATTGACACTTTTTAACACAGGGGGCTGCCTTTGCATCTGGCTGGGCAAGCAAAGCCCCAGGCAGCCTTTGCATCTGGCAGGGCTGTCAACACCCATGTAGCGTCTTGCACTGGGTTTTTATTAGTTTATGTCCTCATTATTTGCACAGTGGAACGATCGACCTTTCTTTCCTCCTGAGGGCCGGTCTGTGCGTCTGGCGAGGCCGGCGATACCCCAGGTAGCCCTCGTGTCTGGCAGGGCTGTCGACATCCCGTGCATAGCCTTTGCGTCTGGCGGGGCTGAGGAAGGCAAAGTAGCCCTCGCGTCTGGCAGGGCTGCTAACACCCCAGATAGCGTCTTGCACTGGGACCACCGGATTGACCCTTTTTAACACAGGGGGCTGCCTTTGCGTGTGGCTGGGCAAGCAAAGCCCCAGGCAGCCTTTGCGTCTGGCAGGGCTGTCAACACCCACGTAGCTTCTTGCACCGGGACTTATTTAGAGTATCTCCTCATACTTTGCACGGTGGATGGATCAACCTCTCTGTCTTTCCTCCTGAGGGCCGGCCTTTGTGTCTGGCAAGGCCGGCGATGCCCCAGGTAGCCCTCACGTCTGGCAGGGCTGTTGACACCCCATGCATTAAGTCTTTGCGCCTGGCAGGGCTGAGGAAGACAAATTTGCCTTTGCGTCTGGCAGGGCAAAGAAACATTAGCTTGATTAGTGTTCAGATTAAAAGTATATTCCTTTGGGGCGTCGGTGGCTTAGTGGTAGAGCAGGCGCCCCATGTACAAGGCTGTTGCCGCAGCGGCCCAGGTTCGACTCCAGCCTGTGGCCCTTTGCTGCATGTCACTCCCCCTCTCTCTCCCCCTTTCACACTTGTCTGTCCTATCCATTAAAGGCTAAAAATGCCCCAAAAAATATCTTAAAAAAAAAAAAAAAAATACATTCCTTCTCACGGCAGGCTAAATGTTAGTCTGCCTAACATTTAGCCTATATTCCTAACAATTTGCTCCCTTAACATAATCCTCCAGAAACCAAAAATGCCTTCATATTGCAAAAAAGGTAAAGTAACATATATGAAATATGAAATACATTATATTCATAATACCCACTTATTTAAAGAGTACTTGTCTCCCTAATCTTTTATGTCTGTTCTCACTCCCCCACCTGAGCCGCTGTTGTTCACCGTGGACAAAAAAGGTAAGTGTGAGCTTATTTATCAACCATTTTTCTTTGATATGTTTATTTTGCTAAGGTTTCTTTTCTTACTAACCATTTTTGACTTTCCTCTTATCTCACTCCACCACCTGAGCTGCTGTTGTTCACTGTGGACGAAGAAAGTAAGTATGAGCCTCTAACTTAGAGAAAAAGTGTAACATTATTTTTTCTTATTACATGAGTACTAATGAATGTATTTGTTGTTTTAGGGCAGGACTCCTCTTGTGTCCAGGGGCCACTGAACACACTCTGTCATGCTATTTGTCAACTTTACCAGTTAGCTGTTGCAATCAATAAAACACTCAGTCATCTGAAGTGACACTCTGTATTGTGAGATTGATTTTAACTTCAGTGATGTTGAGTTCATGTGATGCTTTCTGAATCAGTTGCAGTTGTGTAGTGGCTAAAATGCTGCTAAAATGGTAGAACAGGAGTCTCTCTAAACAAGCAGCTACACTGAGTCATCTGGATTACTTTGTAGATCCCACAACAGGTCTTTAGAAATCAGTCCACATACAGATTAAAGCATTTCCACATATCCAAAAGTGCAGCATGTATGTTAATGTGCAATTGGAAATCAGGGAGGGCCTGAATTAGCCCACTCAATGCAAGGGCGTCATTGTAGGGTGGGACTGATTACCAAGGGCATCAATATGAGGGGAACCCTCAAAAATCCTGAAAAGTTTGGTTTTCTTTGCAGATTTTTATTTCTCAGTAATTAGTGCCATAACTAAATTAAAACTGGCTGAACGCACTGGTTGAAGACTCAACGTTATATGAAAAATAGTGGAAGTGCTCTGAAGCCCCACTCACTCCTTAAAGGCTCAAAATGCTTTAGTCCGCCCCTGAGCTAGGATTCATCTCTAAAGGTGGCTAAGGCTGACTGACTGCTGATTCTGCTGGAGCAACAACATACACAGTCATGTCTTTCCCTGAGAAAGGAAAATCAGTTTCAAAAAGAAAAGAAAGGAAAGGGGAAGATGCTAAACTGACTTTACAAGAACAAAACATTTCAAAAGGTGTGTGAGAAAGACATGGATCAGGAAGGGTGGGGGGCCCACAGAGGCTACTGGTGCATAGGGCCCAGAATTTGGTTATGCTAGGGCTATGAATCATTATAATTCAAGGTAAATCTTATAAATTGGAGCCTAACTTTTTTTGTGCTTATAGATGAAGCAGTACTTGTGAGTAATGTTTGTAGGGGCCCAGCACGTAAATGACATCGAACTGGCATGCATTGTTTATTTCCTGCTCCTGCTTTAGACACTTTACACACTGTAACTGGAGGATACTCCTGTCAGATATTATTGCACTGTGTTTCGATGCTGTTTTAATGTTTTTAGATATGGTTAGTCAGCAAGTCAAGCTCTCACACAACAGTTGGTATACTTACTAAGTAAAATTCTCATGCTACAGCTAGTTCAGTAAGTGCATTTAACTATTGTTAATATAAGCTTAAAGGGCTGCTGCTAACATATTACTACTACTAGTTATGATAATGTTAATCATGTATATTTGGTGTCTTTCTATATGATAAAGACAATAACTATTACTTAATTCCTTGGCCAATTTAAATATCTACAAATGTAAATTTACAAACAAAAAACAGTTTGTCACTACCATTCACATCTGTTATACAAGCCACATCTGGATTATTATTATGATTATTATTATCATAATAATAACAACAACAACGACGACGACGACAATAATAATAATATAATTTTTCTTTTAATAGATTTGCTTTTACGCTTTTCTCACTTAATGTCTTTTTTCAGTCATTATTTTCTCCACGTGTTGCAGTTTTCTGGTTTTACCACTTGATGACAGTGTTGCCTTGTTTGTATTTTGTATTACGCTCAACAAAGCTGTCGGGAAAAAACTACAATCCCAAGGTGCATTACGTGAGCTGTTGCCAGGATACACCACAGACAGTACGGTAGGACTCAGTAGCTACCTGCTAGCTACAGTTAGACGCAGACAAACGCGTTCACACTGAACTCCGACTGATACATGTAAAACAAAGAGAGGTAATTTATCTCTGTAGGCCTTTTATCCGTTAAACCGTGTGTTTGTTGTCTTGGACGGTTTAAAACCTCCCGTGGTTCGGTTTATTGTTAGTTGTCTGATGCTAGGTGGCTAATGCGAGACGGTAGACGGGCATAACAGCTGTGTTGTTTATAAACTTGGTTGTTGGTAAACTGTTATATCAATATTAAAGTGCATCTAAACGCTAGATAAATGTGTGTAACCATATTTGGGTTCACACGATAATGTGTTAGCGTCCTATGGAGCGGGTTGACCGGGGGAAAGACACTAGACTGCTGAAAAACCAACCGTACGACGAGAGCCTGGAGGTGGTCGACTCTGAGGAGGTAGCGAGCGTATACAGCCCGACTCCCCGCAGCCAGCATCAGGTAACATCCGCCCACCACCACCCCTGGACTGTGTGTGTAGACAAAGAAATGTCTACAGAAGTAGCCTACCTCGTTGTAACGTTAATGTAACGGTATGCACTAGGACTGCAGACTAGTCACTATCAGCTCCATGTACGTTAAGTATCAGCAGGAAAATACTCTCGAGTATAAGCTTCATGTAGTTGGAGTATCAGTAGTACACAAGTATTGGCAGAATTGTGTGGTTACAGTACCTACTGTAAAAGTACACATGTATTGTCAACTTCATGTTGTGTCAGTATCAGGAGTAAAAGTAAACAGGTATTTTCAGCTTCATGTATTTAAAGTAGGCTATCAGCAGAAAAAGTACACAAGTATTATTAGCTTCATGTAGATAAAGTATCAGAAGTAGAAATACAATACATAATAATGCAACAGACAAGTTTTATTTTGCTTTGTCATCCAGTTACTGACTGAATCAATATTAATTAGTGACCAGTGGGTGTGAGCTGCAAATAGGAGCTGCTACCTGAATATCTTCCGCACTGAGCTCTGATCATCAGAGAGGACAGTTACTTAGCAGCTTCTTCTCATTCACACACTCTAATTTTCACTTTCATGCAATGAACTGCTGCTCTGTGGGCTGTGGTGGACAAAACACAGTGAATGTGTTTAATGGGGTTGACTTTAGCCTATAGTGATGCTGTTGTCACCTTTCTCTCTCCTCTGACATCAGATGAAGATAATAAGATTTTGTGTTTTCAGTCAGAGTCCAGGAGGAGCATGACGGAGCGAGGCCTGATGTCGGCCAACAGTGACGATGAAGACCACAAACCTCTGAGGGCCATCGAGCCAACCGGCGGGCAGCCTGGGGCCAGTCCGAACGAGGAAGATGAGGAAGAAGAAGAGGAGGAGGAGGAGGACTCTGATGAAGAGGACTCAGACGATGATGACGAGCCTGGTGATGCTCCAGAAGGGGCATATGACCCTGCTGACTACGCCAACCTGCCTGTCAGCACAGAGATCAAAGAGCTCTTCCAGTACATCATACGGTGAGCAATTTACTTAAGAAACACACACACACACACACATAATACATATCATACGCTTAAATTTTTTCCATTATTGATTCATCTGCTGATTATTTTCTCCATTCATCATTCTGTTTATAAATATCAAAAAATTAAAATGCATGTTATAATTTCCCAGAGTCAAAGGTGAGGTCTTCAGTCCAAAACTGTTCAGTTTACTATCAGTCACAACAGACTCTCCTGCTCCATATGATATATATGTAATAATAGTCCTGATACAGTTTGAAGAGAGAAATTTTAGATCACAGAGAGAAAAATGTTGTTACACATGATAAAAGGATTCTTTTATGAATCAGACTGACAGTTAACACAGATCCAGTCATTTAAGCTGGACAGAGAACCAGGGCACAAATAAAAGGCGTCTTTTGTTGTCTCCTCTCAGCTACACCCCTCAGTGTGCAGAGCTGGAGCACAGCCTGAAGCCCTTCATCCCAGACTTCATCCCAGCTGTGGGAGACATTGACGCCTTCCTGAAGGTACAAACACAACCTGTCTGCTAATTTATTGGAGCTGCAGAAACAGGAAATACACAAGGGTTCATTTTTTTATTTAGTTTTAGTCTCACTGTTGTCATTCATTTTTAATGTTGATGTATTCTGATCACTTCTGCTGCCTGCATGTTTTCATGTTTCAGCTGTTTTGTTGCTTCCTGTCAAATTCTCAGTGGATTGCAGATGAATTGAGTTCATAAATCATCAGATAACATCATTGACAGACACAACGTTACTGAATGTAAAAATGCTTCTTATTATCGATAGCAGAACAAAGAGATCAATCATCTTCTGAACAAGATAAAAATGTCGTCACAGTTCCCGTTTTCAAAACTTTTCTTTTAGTTTTAGTCTCGCTTTTGTTGTGAGAAAAGACAAAGGTTGTGCATTATACCTAACAAACTTTTATTGGTAGTAGCACTAGAAATGCTCCTTAATCTCTGTGACCCCTGATCTGACTGTGACCTGTGTGGCATTCAGGTGCCAAGGCCAGATGGTAAAGCGGACAGTCTGGGTCTGGTGGTTCTGGACGAACCCAGTGTGAAACAGTCAGACCCCACGGTGCTGTCGCTGTGGCTGTCAGAGGAGACCAAACAGCATGGAGCCACTGAGGTACTGATAACCATTATACACCTGTATCACACACACTCTATTCTGACTGAGATCCTGTAGAACAAGTTATATGTTGAAAATACATCATCATGTCATTTAAATATAGATCATAATCTACAACAACTTTTCAGCTGAATGTAGTACAGCTTCCAACCTGACACTTTGTGTTTACATCCTGAGTGCGGTCAATGGTGAGCCACCACCCTACTCTCTTTTTGTTAGCGTGGACCTTTTGCTACTTTGTTAACTTTCCGTTTTTTCTTTGTTGCCTGCGTCCTTGTGGATCAGTCTGCGTCCCCCTCTCTAAATTTGGAGGGTCTGGGAATGCAGCGCAGGCTTCAAGAGTTAATTTTCTTCCTCGACAGCAGTTTGTTGAGTTTTGAGTTGTGGGGTGGATAATTATTCAGTCGAACTGATCGGAACCGCTCAGATCAGATCGATAGATTAGAAGAGCAGCTGCTGCAGAGGCAAACTTTTGGACCCAGTGCAGTGAACGATTATGCTTCTTTTTCACTGTTCCTGAGGTTCTGTCGCTCTGTGTGTGCGTGGTGCAGTGAATAACTGAACGGTATATATATTCCAACAGCGCTTGTAATGAGCGATACGACTCCTAAAGTAGAAAATCAAAAGGTGGCGGCAGATGTTTTAATTGTTGTGGGCCGCCACAAATAAATGAATATGTGGAAAATCCTGTCAGTAATCAGACTGCCTCTGAAGACATTAAAGGCTTTATACTTTGGTTGGACATAAGTCTCAATTTAAAATACCATAATGACTGTCTTGCAAAGAAATAGAAATTCACACTCGGCTTTCTGTACAGGCTAAAGTCTTGTTTTTCTATCGTATAGAGAAAACGCTTAGTTGCTAGCCTATTTCTGTCTCAGATTGATTTTGGCCATACTATGTACAGGTTTGCATCGCCGTACACCTTGTCTCAGCTTGACCCCCTGTATCACTGAGCCCTGACTATATAATTACTAAATCTAGCTCCAGGGCTCATTATTGTATCTTATACAGCATGGTAGGATGGCCATACCTCACTTTGTGTAGCTTCCAACTGTGGTACATTCTAGTCTATTAGATCATCTCAGGTACATTTCCAATTACCTAAGCCAGAAGTTTTTATCTTTGCAAAGCAGTTATAATCTACGGCCACATAAATGGCTTCATTTTAAGGCGCTTTTACCAGGACAGAATCTGGCAAAACAAGTCTGTTCCACTACAGTCCCTGGTCCTGGAATGATCTCCTAAAATGATTTTAAACTTAGAATAGAGGAAGTGGTCACAGGTAGCTGCAACTGCTTCATTTAACAAACAAATTCTAGATTAAATAGTGCTGCCTTATTACTCCATTCTATTATGTATTGTACTTTGACACATCTATTGTCACTGTTGTGATTTGATGTTGTCCTGCTAGGTCTCACCTGCAAAAGCAGTTCTAATCTCAATGTGACTTCCTCAATAGACAAAAGTTTTATATATACAGTATGTCACCTCTCTTCTCTCTCTGTCTTGTCTGTGCCTCCACTTTTCCAATCAAATAAAGGAAGAATGCCAAAAATGAATCTTGTAAAACAAAAACAAACACCTCATTCTGTCTGTCTGTCTCTCTGTCTGGCTCCCTGTCTGTCTTTCTCTTTCGCTCTCCCTCTCTCCTCCAGTTAAAGAAGGTAACGAGCGTTGCCAGTCCTCAGACCAACCCTCGGGCGGTGGACAGCTGGGTGGATAGTATCAGCGCTCTGCACCGCTCCAAACCTCCGGCCAGCGTTCAGTATGGCCGAGCGATGCCGGACATTGACAGCCTGATGCAGGAGTGGCCAGCTGAGCTGGAGGAGATGCTGGGCCGCCTGCAGCTGCCCCCGGCCCGCCTGCAATGCAGCCTGGCCGAGTACACCGACATTATCAGCGGCCTGCTGGACATCCCTGTTTACAGCAGCAGGATCCAGTCTCTGCACCTGCTGTTTAGCCTCTATCTGGAGTTCAGAGACTCGCAGCACTTCACACGCAGAGCTTAGAGACAGGCTGGAATATCTACATCAGAGTGACACACTTGAGAGGAAAACCTGTAATCAAAAATATAATGTGTGCAGGACGAAGTGAAAGCTGACATCGGATGTTCCTTATTTAAAGTCTGTATTCTGGCTGCTCATTTATGTGACACCTCAGACAGCAGCTGTTTATTGGTCCAGATACTCTGGGATCAGAAGTGAGAAAATGTTACGACATTCTCTGTTTGATTCTCCTCTTTTTACTTTATATTGTCAAACTTTCAAATAAATGTGAAAATGCCTTTAAAACAGACTCCCATTCCTATATAGTTGTTTTACTGACAGGTGTTGTGTTTTACACCAGATCACAAATAACACATTTATCATCATTGATGTGTTAACAGATACTTCAATGTTTTAATGACCATATGCAGAACATCATCTCATAATTACCAGAAGGATTAGCAGAAGGAAAACTTTCCTTTTCTCCTATATTTCTTTTACTCCTGTTCCTCCAGTGCTACTAATTTGCAAAGTTAAGCATTACGTTTCAAGGAAGAGTCAGTAATGAATGAAATGTAACTAAATATTAATTTAACATCACTTGTTTAATAAACAGGTTATTTTGTACATTGACAGGTGTGTTTCAGGCCTCACAGACAAAAAAAAGAAATGCTGCGGTCTGTCATTTATTCAAGTACTGTACTTCTGTACAATTGTAAGGTCCTGTACTCTACTTGAGTATTTCTGTATTTTGCTAAACTTCTACTCCACTACATCTCAGAGGAAACATTGTGCTTTTTACTGTGCTACATTTATCTGACAGCTTTAATTACTCTTCGGATATAGACTATTAATGCAAAAATAAAACATAAAATCAACTAAATGATAATGAATTATTATAGACCAATCTACCCAGCAGTATACAGTAATTAAAATGAGTCCCACTTTTACCAGCTGCAATGTTAAAGTGATTGATCATTGCCTGAGTTATTATATATATTATTCTGAAATGGACCATTTTGCATAATGAGCACTTTTACTTTTGGAATTTTAAATTTATTTTAATGTTTTTATTTCTGAAACTTGAGACTTCTGTGTGCAGCAGTAAAATAACCACAGATCACCCATGCTTGGTTCTGCGGGGATGCAAAAATATGCATTGCACCATTATTTTTACTGTTTTGCACCATGAGTTAAAATTTAAACAATAGGCGCGCAGACTGTGGGTGTCCCCATACGCACCCGTGTGCAGCAGGAATCTGTAGGCTTGACAGGAAGTAAATTTGCAGTTTGTAAAGCGGGTGTAACTGCGTCACATTACATTGTGCACACAGAAAATCTGAGACGTGAAAACGACCCAGCTGTTCGTCAATAAAATTTTATTCTGAAAGTTCTGACCGGAAGTTCAGCTTGACATTCTAGCTTAACACCGGCTTCGTCTGTCTGCACTTACAGCTAACGGGTGAGACGCAACTATATAGTTTGTTCAATTTGTTTAGCTTAGAACTAACGTCTTACCGTCACTCTGAGGAAAAGGAAAAACGTATATAGTTAACGTATTTGTGACATCGTTGCCACATTCAGGTTAGCTTATGTAGCTAACTTTATGTTAATTTAACACTCGCTGCAAGGAATGAATGTGACAGCGGTTACCCACTGCTAGCATAGCTAACATAAACTTTGGCTAATAGCGTTAGCTTGTCTGGCTGACATTGTTCTGCACAACACAGCATCTCTACAGACTGGACATTCCTCTTGACAAGCAGGTACCAACAAACAAGCCGGCCCTGGGATACGTGTCTTTGTACATTTCCCTAAAGCACGGGTAAGCTAAATGAGTTAGCTAACTTAGTTAGCCCATCTGCATTACTTAATACAATCCTCATGTAAGTTAGTGTTGAGTTTGGCTTGTTATGACGTTAGTTTGCTAACCGATGTTCGCCGGTTGTCAAATGCTCTCTAATCGCATTGCTTGTGAAATTATCTGTGTGTACATTTAAAATGTCCACTGAACTGCTGTATGACGTGGCATTTACCTGAGCCTTCAGTATTGCAAACAGCTGCAACACACCCACCTGTAGTGGCTGTAGGGGAGCTGTCAGTGCCATATTCACTACACCTTTGTGTTATGAAACAAAGCGTCACTATCATGTGGAAACACTCATATCTTGTTTTGTTTGTATCATGCCTACGCCCCATTAAGCGTGCTTCATATATGTCTTTATCTAGATGAATTGTCAAGGTAATCACACCGCTCCACTGAGGGTGCTGGTGACAGGAGGTTCCGGCTTGGTGGGTAGGGCCATACAGCATGTGGTCAAACAGGAAGGGGGAGCCAAGGAGGGGGAAGAATGGACATTCCTCTCCTCCAAAGATGCAAATCTCATGTGAGAGCACACTCCTCAGGCTGCTAATATGCAACACATGTTTTGATACTAATGCACAAAGTTTGGAGGTTGTCTCTGTACTTTACTCATTCTGTGTTATTGTTGTGTTTCTTTAGGAATATGGAGGAGACACGGGCGGTGTTTGAAAAATATCGGCCAACCCATGTCATCCACCTGGCTGCTATGGTTGGGGGGCTTTTCAAAAACATGAAGTACAACCTGGACTTTTGGGTATGAGGAAATCACACTTCTGCTATTACTGCTAATAAAAGAGCACAGATGTTTGAAAAGGCTGTCGGACATTACGTGTTGTTTTGTGTAGTTTTCTTATAATTCTTTTCATATGTGTTTTTTTTTCTTACTGATGTGTCTGCCCTCTCCAGAGAAACAATATCTACATCAACGATAACGTTCTGCAGGCAGCACATGAAGTTGGCGCAGTCAAGGTTGTTTCCTGCCTATCCACTTGCATCTTTCCTGATAAGACCACCTACCCTATCGATGAGACCATGGTAAAAGGCCTCTGTGTGGGGGTGGGGGTGGGGGTGTGTGTGTGTGTGTGTGTGTGTGTGTGTGTGTGTGTGTGTGTGTGTGTGCGCGCTCTCTTAGCATTGCACTTACCAGTCAATTTGGAAATGGCGGCTAACTTTGCTTCATTTCATTGCATTAGATCCATAACGGTCCACCTCATGAGTCGAACTTTGGCTATGCCTATGCAAAGAGAATGATTGACGTCCATAACAGGTGGGAACTCAACTGTTGTTGTTGTGCTGTAACATGTTTAGTAAATTCCCACTGTCACATTCCTACACACGTAATAATTGTCTGTAAAACTTTGTGTATGTTTCACAGGGCATATTTCCAGCAGCATGGGCAGTGTTTTACAGCTGTGATACCCACTAATGTGTTCGGTCCCCACGACAACTTCAGCATTGAGGACGGTCATGTGCTGCCAGGCCTTATACACAAAGCTTACATTGCTCAAAGTAAGTCTATCAATGCTCTTTTTACGAATTACAATATGTCTCCTTCATTGTGGTTAGGATCAGTAATGAGACCATACCTACACAGCACAACTTAACTATAAGTAGAGACTTTAATATTTTTTTTTTAGGCGTATGCCTAGGCATTTGACAGTGACTGAAAAACAATATCAAATATACTGTAAGATCAGTGACAGTGCTGATGCTAATCCTGTGTATTGAAGGTAGAGTAGGGTACAGTGGGAATACATGGAGCAATATTAATTGTGTACTTATTTGTGTGTATGATTAGAGGAGGGGAAGCCCCTGGTGGTCTGGGGCTCTGGCACTCCCAGAAGACAGTTCATTTACTCTTTGGACCTGGCTCGTCTCTTTCTGTGGGTCTTGAGAGAGTATCCAGAAGTCGATCCAATCATTCTTTCCGGTGAGTCCTCATACACAGCACATTGACAGTGAAAGCTAAGTTAAATTTAGTAGTAATGCTTGTGTCGTATCTGCTGGTTCCAGTTGGAGAGGAAGATGAAGTGTCCATCAAAGAAGCAGCAGAAGCAGTTGTGCAAGCGCTTGACTTTAAAGGAGAAGTGGTGGTATCCTTTAATTGTGCTAAGTAAATCAGTGTCATCAGAGAAAATTTGTCATGTTTAACTTGTGTTTAATATGGAACAGATTGTTTATTATATATAGTCCACGCTCCTAATTTGAGGTGGCTCCACGTTTTATTATGTCTCCATGCCAGCGATAGCCTTGGCCGGAGGCATTATGTTTTCAGGTTGTCTGTCCATCCGTATGTACGTCCCATCCTTGTGAACACGATTAGTTTTTGGTGGTCACAGGTCAGAGGTCAAAGTCATTGTGACCTTGTCTGTCTCATTCTCATAATTGCTCTCAAGAATGCCTTGAGAAAATCTTTTCAAATTTGGCACATTCACTTCGATTCAATTCATTTTGGTGGTCATAGGTCAAAGGTCAAGTGTACGTGACTCTATCTCATTCTTGAGAATGTGATATCTCAGGAATACCTTGAGGGAATTTCTTTAAATTTGACACAAACATCCACTTGGACTGAGGAGTAAACTGATTAGAATTTTGTGGTCAAAGGTCAATGTCAGCGTGACCTCACAAAATATGTTTTTGGCCATAACTCAAGAATGCATATGCTAATTGTGACAAAACTTCACAGAGATGTCTAATATGATAAAATAATGAAGAGCATGCTGGTTGTTTTTGCTTGTTGTTGCACATTGAATACAAACTGCAAATATTCAACATTATTGCTGACCAGTTTTTTTTAAAGCATATTGTACATTTTTATGAATGGGGTCATTCCCATCTCAGGAAATGATCCATGATTATTTGTTTATTATTCTAAAATACTAAACTAAATAAATTACTATTTTTAAAAACAATAAAAGCTCCAAATTCTGTTGTAGCCAGTTGGAAGTTCTCGACAAGTTTATTACCATAAAATACTGGAATTACCTGAAAAAAGACGCTGTCTGGTTATGTCTTACCTTTCTGAACTGTTTAACTATCATGCAATTTGTATGTAACAGATGTTTGCATGATTATTAGACTGGTCCTTCAGCCTTTGTAAAGAAAGTGGTTGTTCATATTGTTTCTAATAATCAGATGCATGTAGTTTCCTTGACCTTTGACTTCTAGTTCGATACCAGTAAAGCAGACGGCCAGTTCAAAAAGACAGCTAGCAATGCAAAGCTGCAACGCTACCTGCCCGATTTCACCTTCACACCCTTCAAACAAGGTAGGACTGACTTGTTGGTTGTGTTTGTTTGTTTACATGGTTGGTTGTTTAGTTGCCATCAGACAGTGCAGAAATGTGCAATTACAGATATGTCTTCAACACATCTGCTGTCTGCCTGTCTTCACTCATTCTTTTTACTCTTACAGCTTTGAAGGAAACCTGTGATTGGTTTGTTGCCAACTATGACTCAGCCCGAAAGTGAAAACTCTATCAGACAAGTGGTACCAAGTTCTTAAACCCATGACCCGCTCCGTTGGAAAAGAAGGCTAATAGTGAAGGAGGAAATGGCTGAAAGAAAACAATGTGGTGGTTGATCTGCAAAGGTAGATGGTTGTTCCTAAATGAAGTCTGTCCGTTTGATTCTGTCACTTGGTGAGCTGGACTGAACGTCTCACTTTAAATCCACGTCTGCAACACCATACCATATTATGTTGCTAATGTTTACTTGATTCTCTTTAGGTATAGGGAATAATCTATTGTCTACCTGTGTGTAGTTTCTTTTTCACTATGGCAGTGTTCATTTCAGTTGTTAACTGACTGCTTCAATCTTGGAATCCAGGTGCTGGCACAATTTAATATTTTCAGTTAATTATCTGTCTGTAAACCTTTCTCAGCAGTTTTATCACTGAATTACTTTCAGTCTTTAAAGGTTTGGGATTTGGCAGTTTAAGAGACCTGGCCTTGACTTGCTTTATTTAATGAACACAAAGAAGGGTACGGTATGAGAAGTTTACCCTGTGGTTGGGGTGTTTTTTTGATAAGTATTTTGGCACTGAACAAAATAAATGTTTTATACCTATGATATGTCGAAAATGTCTTGCCTGAATCTTTAAGGGCTTTGCCACAGGCTCACATTTATGTGTTTATGCCTCCATGCTGGTGCTAGCTGTGGCTGGAGGTATTGTGTTTTCAGATTGTCTGCCCATCCCATTCTCGTGAATGCGAAATCTGAAGAACGCCTTGAGGGAATTTCCCCAAATTTGGCATAAACATCCACTTGGACTCAAGAATGAGCTGATTGCAATTTGTGGTCAAGTCACAGCAACCTCACAAAATATTTTTTTGGCCATAAGTCAAGAATTCATGCTCTGACAAATTTTCACACAAATGTCTAATATGATGAAATTAAGGGATTAAATTTTATATCCAAAAGGTCAAAGGTCAACTTTACTGCAACATTATAACGTTATACAGTAACACTTTTTTGGCCATTATTCAAAGTCATATCTCAGGAACAGAAGGAGAGACATTTAGTCAGATACTGACAAAATTGATCAAGAAATCTTCTGTGCTGCCGGGGGGAAGATGTGTGTGAAGCATCCATGTTTTCACAGACATTAATGTAATATTTAATGAAAACTTGACAGGTTTGTGGAGGTATAACTGTGAGGCGGTGAATCTAAATTTATTTATTTTTTTAATTTAGCAGGTTTTCATATTATACAGGAAAATAAAATAAAAACTGCATGGCTGAATTAAGCTTTAGGGATTACTACTACTGTTATGTTTGAATACATGTACTCACAGCTTCATAGGTAAAGAAATAATTTATTTACTTTAAAATGAACAGCAAGCAGTACTTACAATGACAACACGATAACAGTTGATTAGTTTTCTGCAGAGAACGCCCTCTAGCAAATAAAAATGCTCTGAATACACATACAGTCACATTGATAGGTAAAGACAAATTGTATTCACTTGAAAAAGAACACTTAAAAACATGGCAAAAAAAAAATAAAACATCTATAGTCTAAAACAGTGGAGTGCTCATGTAACAACATAGGAGGAAAGCCCTCCTTCGTGGACTCTGCAGTACTCCTGTCCCGGCACGGCTCTCTTCTTACAGGCCTTCCCTGTTTTTGTGATACCGTTGCACAGCTGACGGCCTGACAGAGAGCTGATACAGGAAACATGGAGAGAGAGAAAATAAAGGCATGATCAATTAATTGAAAAAAAATGTATTGGGCTGGTTGGTTTTGTGCATTGGTGTAAGCAGAAAATCTGAACCCCTGACCTGTTGCTGATGACTGATGGGGTAGGACTCGCACTTCGTGAGTCGTTCACGAAATCATGCGAGTCGTTCACAGCATCAAAAATACCTCCCAGGTTCCTCGGGGGCATGTCAGCAACCAGAGCCTACAAAATAAACCCGTAGCATTTATATGTCACCTGTTAATAATTAATGAGGTACTGAAAATAGATCTTAGTTACCCTTCATATGACTGGATTTGCTCACCGTGGAAAGAGCTTGCTGTGGTAGAAGCCTGGGAGTGGAGTGATTGGGTGTGCCAATAATCGGCACAAACCTGGACTCTGGCATTGGCTTCCTCTGAGAGGGAGACACTGCCGATACGCCAAAGTTACCTGCAGACAAATACAAAGTGAGAGCAAATGTAAGTAACTTCATCCAGTAGAATGTCACTTTTCTTTGAGGGAATTATTATTAAAATATTTTACAGTATATATTTCAAACCTGAAATGAAGCTGTCCTGATTCAACAGGTTGTCTTGCTCCACGAAGCCATCATTTTCATCTCTGAGGATAAGAAGAATAAGAGACTACATCAAATAAGTAGAAATAAGAGCACTTATCTCTGACATTGCTGCACATTGTTGAAATTTGTTTCAGCAATTATGACTTTATAAGTTTTAATCAAGATCTGTATTAACATTAACAATCAGGGAATATGTGTTCAATAATTCATTTAAAATAGTAGGGATAAAAAAATAATGAGGTGTCAGAACTGAAATGATTAGACAAGTGATTATTTGATCAACAAAATGAATCAGCAAATAATTGATGTTTTAAATCATTTACAGCAAACATACCATACATACATACATACATACATACAAGTATTTTCTGCTTCTCTCTATGTCATTGTAAATGGACTATCTTTGGGACTGTTGGGTGGACAAAACAAAACATTTTAAAGATGTCACCTTGGGTTCTCGGAAATTATACAGAGCATCTTATACAATTTTCAGACATTTTACAGACAACAATAAATTGAGAGAAAATAATGGTCAGGTTTCATCAATAATAAGAAATAATCATTAGCCGTTGCCCTAGTCTGCAGCATAGACAGTATATAATTAACTCTGCAGACTCACTTCTGTGGTGTAGAGGACGGTGGATATGACTGGCAGGAGGAAACTGGCTGCTTCAGAGGCTCCACTATCTCACATGGGGTCAGAGGCAGCAGAGCGACTGGCTTTTCTATGGTCTGGAAGCATGCCCACATGTGATTCACAAACCAGTGACCTGCAGATATGATGGAAAAAACTCACAACATTACAACAAATACATGAAAATGCTGGAGACACTGTCTTGCCTTGTAATCACCTTTAAAATAATACTTCACCAGCAAAATGACCATTTGTACATCAATTACTCACCATATTATGTCAAATTTGTGGAAAAAAAAAATAACTTTTTTCTTTATGAGCTGAAGTCAGTGGAGATCATTTTCACAACAGCTGTATCAAAACATACGTTTACGAACTCTCACACAACTCGTGCAGTATAATCCAAGTCTCATATGCTCAGTACTTTCCAAAAGCATGCATTGTCTCCAACCTACAAAAAGCACGCGTGCCTGAGCACGCATGTTAGCATGGGCTCCGCTTGAGCAGAGTTCAAACGCACACGACTCGGCCATGCATGAGACTGTTTGTACAGACGCATTTTAAATAGCAAGGGTTCAGTGGAAATGCAAGTGTTTGGAAAGTACTGAGCATACGACTGGATAAATGATGCTTGGATTATACTGCACGAGTTGTGTGAGAGTTTGTAAACCCATGTTTTGATATAGTTTTGCTGTTGTTAAGTACGATCTCCACTGACTTCGATACATGAAGAACATTTGCTTTTTGGATTCTTTGTTCAACGCAGAGGCATGTGAGAAAAACATTTAGGAATTCAACACATGGCCAGTAACTTATATACAAATAGTCATAATAACATATTCCTTTAAGTTTGTACCCAGAGAGAGAATGAGCAGCAGCAGACTGAGGCCGGTGAGATCCAGCGCTGGCTGCTGGTTGATCTCTGCCACTGCATTAAGAGGCACGGTGATCAGCAGCATGGCTCGAGAGAAACCTGGGCACCGCAGGAACGTCAGCAGGACTGCACACAGGACAAAGTAGCTTGTGTGTGCAATACACGTCCACATGGCTGTCAAGCTCAAACCTGTTATCACAACAAGGACAAGGGAAAAACAATAAAATCAGTAAAATCTTAACCACATTTAAGTGGTTTTGAACATTTCAGACTATAGGAGGATGATCTTTGACTGATTTGATCATCACCTAATGGCTGACTATGGGGTTCGTTACCACACTTTCAGTTCTGGGCTGTTTATGCGCAACTAAAACAATTTCTATTTTGATAGAGTTTTTACGAGAGTTGATTCTTTGAACTGAATTTGCCATCATCGTTCCAGCCTTTTTTTTTTTTTTTTAAGAGCAAAAACTGACTGGAATGATCAGAAAAACAGCTATTTTTCATTGATTAATTTTCTATTGATCAATTAATCATCTCAGCTCAATGTTTGTTATATTTAATCACTATTCATAATAGATGTCAGACCAAAAAATCTAATTTAATTAATTAAAATGATTTTGTAGTAGAAAAGATGACAGATATGGACTGCACTGAGTATAATGTCTTGCCTGCCCAGCCGAGGTAGCCCTGGATCATGTGAAGCCTCTCCTCAATCCGGCTCTGCATGTTATCCAGGTAGTGCAGCGTGACTCCCAGGGTGCTGTTCATGCGCTCCAGTTTGTTCATCAGGTCAGTGTAGTACTGGGAGGTCTGGTCCTGGTACTGCAGAAACTCCAACATACTGTGGTCTGATCGGCCACAGGCATGGGAGGAAGGTAAATTAAAATCAAACACAGCACTGATTTGAACAACTAGTTTTAAACAGATGCGATGAATTTAGATTTGTGATGCTCTGTTTTTATTACCAATCTTTTGATGGATGTCCTGAGCTTGGTGTCTGACATCTGTGAGGTCTTTCACAATTGCCTTGTGGCTGTCCTGCACCTCGGCACCCTGGATCTGCAGATGCTCACTCACATTCTCTGAAGAGAGACAGGAAGGAAGGCCAAATGTGATAAATGTCATTTCTTACCAGATAATGTGACATTAGCTGGGTTTACATGGAGCATTTTGTCCAACAACAAAAGAGAATCATAGTTAAGTATTTTTCTCAGTTTGAAGGGGTGGGATAGACCTTTTAAATCTCAGTCAGCACATGAAACTCATGTAACTGCTCCTTTTAAAATCACTTAATACAGTGGTTTTCGAATGTTTTGTGCCCAAGGCACACCAATGGGTAAGTCAAAATCTCAAGTACGCCTTTATTTACATCTGTGCACAATAGCTTCTATAACGTGCATTATCACTCTTATCACAACATAAGACAATAAAAATAATAAAGAAAAAAAAAATACAACGCATAGCTTTTGTGAGGTTTTTTTCCCTCTGGTAGGACGTCTTCACTGGTGCTTTGTTGTAATTTGCTCTGTACAATACAGCGATCCACTGACCCACTGATAGCTTTCTCTCTTTAAATGTCATCATCCCTCACACTGGCTGCCAGTCATGGCTTTTGATGTGTCACACACTTAGAATTTCCTATGTATGAATGGCAACAAATAGGTTCCCCTAGATGTTTTTTTTTTTTTTCTTTTAAGATATTTTTTGGGGCTTTTTAGCCTTTAATGGATAGGACAGACAAGCGTGAAAGGGGGGGAGAGAGAGGGAGTGACATGCAGCAAAGGGCCACAGGCTGGAGTCGAACCCGGGCCGCTGCGGCAACAGCCTTGTACATGGGGCACCTGCTCTACCACTAAGCCACCGACGCCCCAGATGGTTTTTAAAATTAATTCAAATTACATTTTTTAGCTAGACTTTGCCTCTTTTTTAGGAAATGGGTGCACACAACATACTGATACAGTCACTTCAAAATTCATTCATAACTTCTTGTATAGGCTCAGTTGAATATTGCACTAATAATGTGTCATTACTACAAAATCCCACAGCACACCTGGATTGGTATCACAGCACACCATTCGTGAACCACTGACTTAGTAATCGTAATGGTGTCAGTTCACCATTCTGTTTTTAGATGGCTGTTTGTCCTCAAGGTAGACATCTTTTTCCACAGTAGGTGTACATACCACAAACAAGTAACAACAAGTAGTCTGTAGGTAGGTACTCTATTTATTATATCCATTTTATGATTGTTGATTTGTTTATTTTTTTCGGTTTCTGTCATCAGATTAATGCTAACCAGTTAGCTATCAGATTTGCTGTTTGGGTCTAATGTCTTACAACATTCTCAGGAAGTGCTAATTTACTGTTTGGCTTATTAATGTATTTAACTAGTTTAAAACTTTGACTCCTATGAGGTCTATATGTTGACTCAATTAATAACTATGTTGTATTTTCTGTGGGAACCTAATTTTGTAATATTAAACTTCATCCTGGCATTAGAGACAATTTAACTACAATGGCAGCCAGTCTCTACCTCTGTGAATCCAGTTTTATTGCTAATGCTATTGTACTGGCATTAATTCATTTGTTAAGTTTTACAGTACCTTTGGTCTAACTCTTGTTTATGATTTCATTTAATTTGTTGTCCAAAACTGTCAAAGTTTAACAGATGCTTCCAGTAAAACGACAAAGGTCAGCTCATGTCTTAAACCTTAACTGGAAGTGTGTTTACCTCGCTGAATAGCTGTGTATCCACGTGCACTGTGAGGAAAGAAGAGTCAGTTCAACTATTTAAAGTTAATTGGATTGTCCTCTTTGTGTGCTTTCACATTCTAGGACTCCAACCACAGCAATGCAAAGCACAGTGCAGGCACACATTTTGGTATATCGTCACTTCAGAGAAGCACCAATTCAACACTGTTCTTGTCATAACTGATGTGTAAACAACAGCTCCAATTCTGTGCCAGATACACCAAATGGTAAATATTTTACAGTGTGAAATAAATGAAAGCTCTCACCCATTTTCTTTGTAATGCCCTGAATGAGCTTGGCTACCAGTTCCTGTCCGGCAGCGATGAGGGCTTTCTCCTGGCCCAGACGCTCCAGGTTGTTCCTCAGTGAACTCTCCATGTGCTCCTGGCCCTCATGCAGCTTCTCCTGTTGGGTCTGCAGAGCACTGTGACCATGCAGCAGCTTGTCCAAAGAGGCTGCAGTCAGTTCCTTCAGCTCCAGCTGGCCCTCCTGTCATGCAACACCATGATCAAAGCAGAATCAACCTGCATACTGTGCACATGAAGATGAGAAGCCCAAAGTGGACTGAAATTTACCTTCAGGTCCTTCATTGCACTCAGTTGGCTTGTGGCTGTGGAAATGAGAGCGTTGACAGTGTGCTCTGCTCGGCGCCTGAAGAGCTGCTGGCGAGTTGCGTAGCAAACAGAGCGAGCTCTGTTGCTCACAATGTGGTAAGCATTCCATGTGTCTGAATCCATGTCTGCTGTGCACTCTTTTATAGTCTGAAACATCAAAATTAGATTAAAAATAGCTCCACACAGCCAAAACACACTCATCCTCTGAATCCTTTTATCATTACTTTATAATTTTACCATTTCCTCTGTACATGGAAAGGTCCGGCGCCCCTCAATCTCTGCCTGGCAGTTAAACAGAACAACACCAAGCTTCGCAAGCTGCTCCTCTGGGAGGCTTTCGCAGCTCGCCTTCAGCCGGGCGACCACCTACAAAGGAACACTGAGCTTTATTAAATCTGTTAAGGACAAACCAGTGGAAGTGTACCAATGCTACTGTGACCCTGTTATGGCAAACAAAGCTGTGAGGACTGCTACCAGTTGATGAAAATGTCCATAAGGTGGAAAAGTCTTCACAGCAGTGTTTCTCATTTGAACAGTAACTGTATTGTTAGTCTCAAAACATCACGTAACAGATCTCAGGCTGTCATGTGATTTTAAGTCGACCACAATTTTTACAAAAATCCCAAAAATTAACTGGTTCCAATATTTGAAACTGAAAGGATTTTTTCTTCTGTTTTGCAAATTACTCTTTTTGCGCTTTGAATCTGAAGACATCAGCTTAGGTTCTAGGAAACTGTAATGTATAATTTTCCACTATTTTTTGACATTTTACAGACTAATAAATTAATCAACCTAATTAATCAAATTGTTAGATTAATTAATGATTAAAAAATGATCACACAAACAAATATATGAACTCCTGATTTGATTCTGCTTACATGCATCACTAAGTGGATTCTGAGTCAAATACTGAGAAACCCTGAATTTAAACTTTACCCTGTAATGACAGCTGTCTAACGGACTGAGCTCCATCTGCTTTGCCTCAGCCAAAAACTTCTCATCTGCAGTGCTCATCTCAAACTGAGCATCCTTTGCAAGAAGTGCTGGGACTTTTGCTGTAAGTGGAGGAGGTGGTGCCGCTGCCGGAGGTGCTGTCGCTCCCTTCAGCCACTCAAAGAGCCCGCTGACTGCAGGGCACTGACAGGCCAGGATACTGATCAGCAGGAGGGGCAGGTGATGGATCAGGAGTAGAGCCATGTCTGGAACAAAACACAATCAGAATGCGTAATTAATTTCTTAACTAAAAGATATGTGCAGCATTAAATAACAACAGCAAAAAAAGAAAAGTCATTCATGTCAATGCTCATACTGTTGATGGGCTCATTTGTAGCTCTGTTCGGATGTTGCCATTTTGGGTCTAGTGTAAAATGTCCATTTCCCCCATTTTCTGAAAGATGAACGTCTTATAGTCTAAATAATGGAATTGTTTTTTCCATTCAGCGGATCTACTCAGAAATTACTAGCATTTGTTCATGTGTTGGGGGATATTTTTTTCTTGATTTCTAATATAAGATTAAAAAAACAACAATTGTCTGTTATTTGTAATTGCACTTTCTTAAGGGAAATTACGGTGATTATGTGCCATTCAACTACAGGGACCTTATACTGTTGTACTTTATCATAGTATTTTTTTCTTATTCTAAATACAACTTCCCAAGACAGCTATTTTTTTATATTTTCTTTACATATATGTGACTGATCTGATGTAATCCATGCTATCTTGTTTGTGTAAGTGCTTACTTTTACCTTGGCTAAATCAAAGTTATATTTTCCCAGAATACTCTCCATGGAGGATGTGTGGTAGTGTACCTTCCTCAAGTGTTACCCATCACTGTATGAAATCTCATTGTAAACCTCAGCTGCAGGAGGTGTGATGTCCAGATGTGAAGGCTGTCGCTAGATGGCGACAATAACAGTCCATATGTTTGAATGATTGTTTGAAAATATATATGCAGGATCTGCTTTCTATAAATTTACGGTGTCCTATATAAGCCCATGCAGGATGAGTATAACTGTATGCATGATACAGTAATAAAAACTTTCATTCATTCATAAATGCTAGCCCATGTTTGAATGAGGACCACGGCACACTGAGGCTTGCCCAGGCATGTCTGCTCTGCTGCACAGACGCTTCAACACAGCACCTGCTGCAAAAGATTATTTATGAACAATTAAAATACTAATTTCTACGGTATACTTCAGTCATGCCAAAAAGACGAGACTCTTTTTATTATAAAAATGTAAATATACAAATCTACATAAAAATCTACCTGGACGCAATTTTCAATCTATTTTTCTGTCTGTTTTACACACCTGGGAGCCCATCTCCCACGCCTTCCATAGTGTGCAAAGCAAAATGGGAAACCCATTTAAAACTCTAATAGTTTTCAGCACATTCAAAACACTCAGCGCTAACTTGTTGCGGCAATATGCGAGTAAAATGACTTCAACTAATTACCTTGAAAATCAATGCACACATAATTGAATGCAAAAATATACGCACTGCTAAATCATGTACCTGTTGTATTAGTTTGCAGGTCCTTGTTGGTGCCGTCTCCCTCTCACAGCTGATCGGAATGACAGTTAATTTTTTTGTCCCGCACCTCTCCGCCCTATAGGACGAGGATACAGCCAATGGAATCACTCGCATTTTGTGGGGGGCGGACATGGGGTATGTTAGGTTTGTACCACGGCTGAAACGGAATGTCGGTGTGCGGATTCATATGTGGAAGGTGTGGTTGAGGATGCCGAAGGTGCCGCCCACCTGGTGCAGCAGCAAATTTGTGATAAACAAACCCACCGATAGTTCTCTTGAACTCTGCTCGTTGGTGCCGTGGATGCTCCGGATGTTTCCAACCTGACAGACTGAATTAAACTACAGTCTGAGCTTTTGCTAAACGTTGGACGTCAGCAAATCTGAAAAACATCAGGTGAATAAATATCCTACCACCAACGTTTGCCGCTGTTACTGACAGTATCGCCTGACACCGTGTTTATGTCACTCCGTGTTATTTTATGGTTGTCCAGTCAACAAGTAACACGTGCATTGTATTTCTAATCTAATCTGTGCTGGATTATTTTCTAGCTATCCCTAGCTAGATGCAGTAGTAGGGCTGGTTTTCTGCTGTCGTGGTTTTTAAAGACAGGATTTTAAACATTTTATTGGCACGCTTTTTACGACCTGTAGGCTAAGATTTAAGCTAGCAAACAGCACCGCCCTGCCCCTGCCTCACTAGACATGCTAGCACCTAATTAGCAACCTAGCCGTGTGAACATTCAGGGCTAACGTTTACTAGCCGCCAAGCTAGCTAGTGCTACGTTGCTACAACAATGGACGACTCTGGTATCAAGAAGCAGAACTGGGACGTGAAGGAGACGGAGTTATTTCTGGAAATCCTGAAGGAGCTGGACATGAAGAAATGCTTGGACGGGAGGAAAGTGAGGAATAACAAACTCTTCAAGGTGGCGCACAGGAGAATGACAGCGGCCGGTTATCACAGATCTGTGGACCAATTGAAGTTTCGCTGGAAACTTCTTAAAAGTGCGTATTACAAGTGCAAGAGAGAACCCAACTCCCCGGCACCGACCAAAATACAAGGCTGGTGGCGGTATGAAAAGACAATGATCGCTATCATGGAGTCCAGACACCCCCTGGTCGGAGCTGGAGTCAACTCTGACAGGAATGATGAAGTGACAGAAGACTCGGATGGAGAAGCATCAATGTTGCACTGGCCGCAGCCCTGCTCGGACAATTCCACCCAGAACCTGGATTTAATTGTAGGGGTGATACCGTGGATGCGATGTAGTCTTGTCATTAGTTCATAACCGTGATTTAATTTCTTCTATGTGTTCAATGCATGCATTCATCCCCTAACTGTGTGCCTATTGTGAACATGTCTCTGGGTTGTTGTGATATACACTTATTTACAAAGTGCAGCTGACTAAAACTAATGCAGGCAAATACAAAGGTCCTGCAATAGATTCTGCATTCATGAAAGTTGTAATGTTTTAGAGAGGTGTTGATTCAAAGTTTTTTTTGTGTAGAAATATTCCATTGTGCTATATTGATAGATTTTCTAATATTTTGTCTACACTGTTTACATCAGTATGTGTAGACCAGCTATTAAACACTTACACAAGACAGTATGACACAATATAATTTGGTTTTCCCTTTTATTTAAATAACTAGTGTTAATAAGATCACAATCTCTTATTTTAGAGATATTTGTGCACAAGAAAAAACTCTGATTTAAGAATTGATAAATGCATAGAAATTCAAAACAACACAGTTTGTATATGCAGTATACATTGGTTCTACATTAAAGAAAACAATCACAAGTGCCATTTAAAATATTTGTATATAATATTGCAAAATCTTAAAAAGAAATAAGAGAATTCTCAAACTACTGCCTCTAAAATGACCATAAAATTGAATCAACACCATTTAAACAAAATCTGAACATTGTAATGTTCATCAACGTAGGATTTATAGCAGGTCAGTTGTGTTAAACTTTTTTAGTTTGACCTTGGACATAATAAACTGGCAACTTGGTTTAGTTGGTCTCAAGAAGGGTGTGGACAATAATTGCTTCAGCAACATACAACCATACACTATTCTGGTACCAAAACTTACATTTTCTTGTTCATCGCTCAAGTGGGAAAAGAATGCCCCTCACAAGTTCTCAGAGCCTGTTGTGGCCCCTTCAACAACCAAGAGATAAAACTGCCCAAAAATCAATTTACAGTCATATAAAATAGAGGGAAGCAGCAACTCCTCATATTTGACCATCATAAATGTCTGCAATTTTACCATAACAAATGCTAAGCTTTCAAAACAGGTGTTGATACATTTTCTGTCAGTTGACAGATACCAATACCCTGATGCATTCTGTTGGTTCACTGTAGATGCATTTCAGATATGACTGCACCCAGCTTGTAGCAGTAACCTGCTTTCTGAAACAACATGTCACAAGATCAAGAGAGAAATCTGATTCACTGGTTTCTTGCTGTAGTAACCAGCTTTGTTGGCCCTATAAACTCTTATCTGGGTTAAGGATGCTGTTGCATGACAAAATGACCCAGGGGGGAAACTACGCTGTGGCAGCAGTTATGAGGGGGAGGGGGAGAAATCTGATTACTGACCAACTGTCAACCAGGATTTCACATGTCTGATTTCTTGGCTTAATCTGATTTCTTGCAGTAATCAGGTTTCTTGTGTGCATAATAACACAGCTGACATTCTCAGTGCAGCTGTTTGTTCCTATATGGTGTTGATGCATTGGCTCTGATGGTCTCTAGCCACGTTATGATGTACAGTAATCACAAACCTACTGTATGCAATTAACAGGAGATTATACGGCATAGTAGATTTACTGAATCACAATACTTTATTTTGGAAAGTTTGTGATATCTACTGTAGTGTTGTAAGCATATGGATAATGGATTGGCTGTAAATAAACTGCTGTTTTTGATTTTCTGTCAAGCTTTTTTGCACACATTGAACTGATGTCAGTTACAGTGAGGCAGCCATGTCTCCTTTTACCTTTGACATATTTCATGGCTGGAGATTTTCTTCGTGGCAGTTAAGCTTTTTTTGAGTTCAGGGATGTTTTATGTTTGAACAGTGGCACACTGTTAGTGTTCAAAAAAGCTAAGACTGAGGACACTGTTACAATTTTAATGGTCTTTCAAATTCTGTAAAATTCAGTACACTTAAAGATATACACAATAAAAAGCCATTTTAAGGCAATGCTTTTATGTTCAGCTAAAAGATGCTTTGATCTGATTGGTGATTGTCTTTAGGGCTTCAACTAAAGGTTATTTTCACACCATTATTTTCGGATAATTTCCTTGAGTCATCATTTTGTCTGTAAATTGTCAGAAAATAGCAAAAAACACCAGTTCTATTTCCGTCTTGCATATGTGAGGTGTTCAGATTGCTGGTTTTATTTAGTCTCAAATCCAAAGATATTCAGTCTACTATCATATATGGCAAAGTATAGCATCAAATCTTCACATTTGAGAAGCTGAACTACTGATTTTTTGGCATGTCTGCTTGAAAAATAACTTGAATAATAGCTCACTTACCAAAATAGATGCCAAATAATTTTCTGTTGATCAACTAATTGTAGCTGCTTAAATTGTCTTGCAATATTATTGTATGTAATGTTTACGTGTGATAATGTGTGATATTGTTGTCACTGTGGGAAATGTGTCATGATAGTATTGTGTCGTAGATTGTTCCTGTGATTCACACCCCTAGTTTATAGCTCATTGTTTAACTATGACATAGCGTCTTGTTGATATTTCCACTCAAGTCTCTTTTTCTCCTTTACCGTAGATCAAAATGGACCCTGAGATGGACTCGCAGCTGAAGATTGGTTTTATTGGTGCAGGGAACATGGCCTTTGGCATAGCTAAGGGCATCTTGTCTGGTGAGTCAGAAGAGAATTGTTCAAAGAGAGAGGACAGTTTTTAAGTAAAGGTGTTAACATTTTATTGTTTGTTCCCATCAAAGGAAATGTTCTTCCTGTAAACGTCAAAGTGAGTGCACCGTCCTCCAGGAACCTGGGGCGCTTTCAGGTACTTTTTACCTCCGTCTTTTTTACTTTTCTGTCAGTTTTCAGTCAGATGAGTTGGACTGCAGGACAGTGAGCGTTACTGGTAAGATGTGAATGGAAAGTTGTCCTGCAAACTAATCCATTGTAATACTGCAGACCCTACGTAGTACTGCAGGTGTCAAGTTGGAGCATATAATGTAGTAATTTAAAGGTACAAATTATTAACTCTTGTGCAAAAATAGGCAATTCATGTTCTCAAATTAGCTTTCCAAGTTTGCTTGTGGTCCCGCTGTCAGGAACACAACCAGATCAGATCCTACTGTTAAGATTACTTGACACGAATATGACATAAATAAATGTCAAATTAAGAATGTGATGTACATTTGATCTAACCTAACTCCTGCCTCTCTGTAGTGGTCCTGTCTGTGTGCTGTGTTTTATAAACACCTTGTGTCAAGCAAAGTGAGGTGTTTATTCTTGTTTACCTGTTGTCACGGGTTTATTTTACGTGAGCTTTTCTACATGTAGGTGGACATGTGAGTCAGTAACATCCTTTCTGATGGCTTTCAGGAGCTCGGGATTTCTGTTACCCACTCCAACATAGAGGTGGTCTGTGGGTCAGATGTGGTCTTTGTAGCAGTCAAACCTCACCTGGTCCCGCAAGTTCTCAATGAGATCTCACTACACGTCACCGACAGACACATTATCGTGTCTGTTGCTGCAGGAGTAACACTGGCCACACTGGAAGAGGTGGGAGCACGTGTATAATGGTTTTTCAATCTAAATGATGGTTCTGTGGTGATCTAAAGATGAGTAATACTTTTTTTTTCTCTTTCATTTTCAAGCTCCTGCCAGAGAATTCAGTTGCCATCAGGCTGATGCCAAATCTGCCATGTTTGGTTCAGGAAGGGGCCCTCCTGTTTGCTCGGGGTTCCCATGCAAAACAGGAGGATGGAGCTCTGCTTCGCTCCCTGTTACACCGTTGTGGTTTGGTGGAGGAGGGACCTGAGGCCTGGATCGACATCCATACTGGACTGAGCGGGAGCGGAGTCGCTTTTGTGAGTATGTGAGGAGTATATGGCAGAGTGTGTTTAGCAGGAGGTCTTTGTAACTGCTTGCAAACTTTTGTAATTGGACTTCCGCAGACCAAAATAGATAATGTCGATTGATAATGAGATTCAGGCCGGTAATTTACTCATGAAGGTAAAATGACAGTAAACAGTGAATGCTATAATTCTGGTAACCTTTTCTTACAACACTCGTGTGTAGTGTTTTAGATTCCTGCTTACCTTTCATCATCAAATTGGTTTGAACTTATTTCACTACAGCATGAACGTCCACTCGTAGATACTTCCTCACTGTGCATAACCATTATGAATCTTGGATCTGCTTTTATTGCCAAGGTACATTATTGTTAAGTGTTAATACTTTGTAGGAGCACATTGAAAAGAAAGGTCTGCATCACATTACCACAGAATATGAATGCAGCCTGGCAAGAAAAAGGCAGACTCTGAACTCCATGATGAAAGACAGACGAGCCCTTTCCATGGTGATTACATCATATCTTCAGTGAAATACAGATCCAGTCAGTCTCAGCAAACCAAAATCACAAATTATCAACTCTTTACAGATGCATATTTCTCCTCTGTATGAATGGTGCTAACAGTAATGGTCCCTGTGATGAATGACTTATTTTAAGTCAATTTCAAGTCTCTGAATTTCAAAAGGAAATCAAAGGAAGGTCAAAAAAAGCACTGTAAGATATCTAAAACTCTATAAAATGACAACATTTTGATGTGATAGTTTGCAAAAGGCATTGGCATTCTTGTGTGTGTCTTATTTCTGCAACGGCAAGAAAATGGACTTGGTGCACCTTTTGACTCTGATGCATGTGATCCCCTTTACAGGTGTATCTGTTTGCTGAAGCGCTGGCAGAAGGAGCCGTTAAAATGGGAATGCCAAGTGCTCTGGCACACAGCATTGCATCCCAAACTGTTCTGGTCAGTTTTACTGTAGTAACATCAGTAATTTTAAAATAACTAAGAATACTTTGTTATGCCAGCACAATATGTGAATCTAGCATTAATTTAGTCTGTGTTCCATCTGTCACAGGGTGCTGGGAAATTGTTACGTGAGTCTGGGAAGCATCCAGCGCAGCTACGCTCAGAGGTCTGCACCCCAGGTGGAACAACCATCTATGGGCTTCACACCCTGGAGCAGGGCGGTGTGAGGGCGTCCACCATGAGCGCCGTGCAATCTGCCACCGAGAGAGCCAGGGAGCTCGGCCAAAAGTCAGCAGCAGGATCCAGGAAATGACAGCTGCTGTTTGCCTTTAATAGCTACTCAATGGACTTAAATCAAGCCTAACAACAAACTGACTTTTTGTCTCAACATCACCATGGAACACTGAGACAAAGCAGGACTTGTCACTTTTTTATTTCATTGTCTCCCCTTTATTTTCCCTTAAACAAGTGTGGTTCATATTTCTTCTTTTTCACGTCTGTGACCAGAGGGATTTGTTGTGAGCAAAAAGGAAATATGGCTAAATCTTATCTGACAAGTAAATTATTTGATCTTGACCCTGTGATTTCTTTTGAGAGAATGGCTACTTTTACATGCACACCAATATTCCAGTCTTTTCTGATTTAGGCAGTATTGCAGTACTTTTATACTGGTCATGTTTATTGAGAACCATGTTAGCCTGTGATCTTGTGAATAGGTAATGTAGAGAGGGAGACGTCGGTCATTAATCAAACTACACTCTGTAGCATCTGTCAGTCCAAAAAGCATCATGTATAATAATGCCTTACTAGTCATCATTGGGTTATTATGTGCATTAATGTGGATTACAGAATGGAAGTAAAATGTGTGAATGTATTTAATTATATTAAAATATAGTATTTAATATTCGGCCAAATGAAATGTAAAACATAAAGTTTGGATAATGAAAGAATGATCGTGGTCAGGCAGCTGTTGATAGTTTCTGTCCCAGGTGTAGTTAACACATCTAGTCGCTGGCTTTGTGTATAACACAATGTTGAGAAAAATATTCCTGATCCATGATGCCGAGTGTGTAGAATGGGTTTTCATAAAGTGTCCTGTGAACTGGCTCCCTTTGTGCATTGCTTTATTTTTGTTTGCCTTCGGAAGCTCAAATTCTCAATGAGTAGAAGCAATATGAGGACATGCAGATTACAGGTTACAGTGTAAATCTTACCACTGTATCCATTTAGTAGCTATTCTGGAGCTTTTCCTCATATATCATGATCTTTATCAACCTATGTAGAGGGCCCATTATGAACTCCTGCAGATGAAGATCATGTGATATGATTGAAATCTGTAGAACAGCTACTAAATCTGTTTTACTTCAGCTGACTTTTATATATCATATAAAGAAAAGACATTGATTTTTATGCAGCCATGAACATAAAGTATTCAAAGGTTTCAAAATACAATTTCTGGAAAAATAATCTGAAACAGATAGAATCTCATCCCTTAAGAGAGAATATGGGCCAAAACCATTGGTGGAATGTAAATACATTTACCCAAGTACAGACCAGGTACTTGGACTGCTTGAGTATTTCCATTTTCCACTACATTTATTTGAGAACTTTAATTATTTGTTAGTTAACAGATTCAAGTGATCAATAGAGAATGTAATTATTAATAAATTATGATACAGATTAAGCCTCCCAGCAGTATAGAAAGTGGCTGAATTTGGCTCAATTACATTAAACTAATGAACACATTAGTGCATCACTATTATCCAATAATATACCTGGTACTTATGTACATTTACTTAAAGTAATATTTTGAAAGCAGCACTTTTACTTTTGACAGTGTGTTAACATTGTAAAAGAAATATCAGAGTACTATTGTCACCACTGGCTGAAAGTCTTTTCACTGCATTACCAGCCTAAAGATTTGGGGAAATTGGCTCATTTTTACGACAAGACGTGACGTGTCATAAACAGTAAAGGCTCGTCATACTAGGACAAAGGTTAAAAATACATAAAGTGGTCCTCTGATTCAAATTTAAATCCTATATTTGTCCTAATTAAGTATCAGATCTACTGTTGTAATAGTTTGATGTAATTTACTACAACACTGAGTATCAGGAGCACATAAGGTTTAACATGGGGCATCAGGAAACATTAATGATTCATAACTCCCCCCTCCCCCATCCTCGAAGATCACACAATCACCGCTGCTCCTTGCTTCCTCCTCCTCCTCTTCCTCCTTCCCCTTGTCACTCACTGGCTGGAGAAACACGCGTTTTATCCACCGGCCTCGTTTCGCACCGACAAGACAAAAAACACAGCAGTAAGTAACGTTAACGCTGACTGACAGTCAGGGTTTCAGTCCGGGGATTAATTTTGGGATTCGTTTAAGGGACATTTTGGGAAATGAATGAATGTTGAGCGGTTTACAGACAGCAGGGACTCGGCGTGTGTTAGCCGATGCTAGTTAAAATGGCTAGCTGAATGGGGCTGTGTGCTACTGCTAACGCCGCACAGAGCGGCTGTCACGCCGGCTCGACACCGGCTTCAGTTGCCGCTGTTCTACATTGACATTTTACTTTCACAATTAAATGAACTACTAATGCCTTAGTGTCATATTTTAAAGCGTTATTTGTGCGTGTCGTTAAACGCTAACCACCCACTGACAGCGTTTCATCCTAGCTAGGACCTACTACAAGATGAAAGATGGCTAATGTTAAGGTTAGCAGGGCACACCTTTAGATGATGACAGCTCTGCTGAGGCTTTGGAGTGCCTTTCTTTTGTAATACAGCATCTTGTAAGACAGGTTTTTCTGTCTTGACAGCAGTTAAACATTCCTTACCTTAAGTGAAAGTGTTGCGGTGTTGTTAGCTGTACAGTCCTTTCAATAAGACCTGATTTCTCAATGAATCTAAGCAGCTATTATCAGTTTGGGCTTGAAAATGGCCTTAACGTATTAATGTCAAAAGGGTGTGAATAGTATATTTAAACTCTAAAGTAAAAGTAAATCATACGGTTTATGTATGGTGAGTTAAGCCTTTGCCCTGCCGAAGTGCCCTTGAGCAAATCACGGTAGCCCACCCTTCCTGGGGAGTTGTACTGCATCAGACTCTGCAGCTGACCTCCTTGTAAAGCAGGTAAATTGCCCCCTGAGCATCAATGGGATAAAACATCATGGCATTTGATTGCATCAGAAACTCGGCAGAGGTTATTTGAGGTGACTACCTCAACCCAAACGTTATGGGAATATCCACTGATGTGTAATATGAACGTTTAAAGGGTAAAGCTGGCAATGTTTGTACAAGCATCAAATCTAAAGACTATTTAATTCAGTTAAATTCCTATATTTTCATTGTAAATAAATACAATGAAATTCAGTGCACACATGAATAATAGACAGGATAAGATATAATTTATTCATACTCTAAACACACACACTGCACATATAAGCAGTGCCAACATATGCTGTGAACATAAAATAAGTTAAAATTATTGCACCTAGAATAAATACCAACATTGAACTGACCCCATCAGCAGGTATTGTCTGTGTATCCAAAACCTTATATATTGTACTCATGCCATAGAGCTCCGTTTTTGTCCATAAACTATTAAAACACTTTACTGACCCAGACCATTGCACAGAGGGACATGTTCATTTATTATCTTTAACATGGGCACTGTGGTTTGTTTGGAGTCAATCCCACATACTCTGCTGTGCTGCCAGAAATACTTCGCTGGGGCACCACATGCTGCTTAAAATAGCTCACTGTTTGAGTGACATCTGCTAGAAACTGCAGTGTCCAGCTAAAAGGTATTAAACTTTTTTTTGTGGGTGGGGGTGAATATTCATGATCACTTTTTTTCTCAGTATGAACAAATTGATTTAGAGAAGACGGAACGTACAAAGAGACAGAACCACCATATTATTGGTTTCTGTATTTTCAGTGCATTTCTTGACAATAAGAAAAATGTGATATCTCCAGCCTTACCCTTTAAAACCCTTTAAAATTGTAGACTGTTAATAGAGCTGCATCTAAAGGGGTGCATCCCAGAAGCTCTCATGAAGACGACACAGAAAGTTGAAATGTGAGAGCAGTCCAGCACATAAGTGCATGTGCAGTTTCCAGCATGTATTATGATCTGCATACAAGAATGGTTGTAATGTCACTAATGGGCTTAATTGGCTAACAGGCTTGAAGGTTTTTGATTGGCCTGCTTTAACATCAAATGTTCATTTTTGATGATGAAGAGAAAATTAAACTGTCCACAGTGCCTTCTATTTGAAGAATGGAAAATAGCAGATAAAGGGGGAAAGCCTTGGGATGCATCCAAGTTGCTGCTTGTAGTTCTTGCTTAATATAAGTGTTCCATTTGAGCAAATAATAGTGCAAGTATTTTCCATATTCGTCATCATCCAAGTCTGAAGGTGTTACCATGTCAAATGTTGAGAATGCAGAGTTTCATGTTGAGGTATTTCTTTAGAGAAATCTTTAACACATAGCTTCTTTCCCCTCATCTTGCATTCAGAAATTGACAAGTGAGTATTCCTGATGATGTTGACATTTACCTTGTTTGAGTTTTGTTTTGTCCTTGTTATACCCTTTGTATCAGTTTTATTGTTTTAACAAGGTGGTGATTGTTAAACTTCTTTTTCAATGGCTTGCGGTTAACTGGATGAAAAGAACGTGTTGAGCATTTGACTTTGAATACTAGTTTAAGCTCAACACCTTAACCCAGGAAGGTGAGTTAAGAGCTTGAATAAGGTTTTTTAATAAACATAAGCAGGAAATGCCTTCCCAAAACAGTGCCCAGATACATTTTAGTGATTTTTCATTAATATCAATAGTTCTAACATAAAATGTTGAAACATTAAGGGAATGCATTTCCTGTATTGCAACAGAATAATGTAACATCATAAAAATGGCATGGCTTGACACATAAAACCTCAGTACTTCTTGAATTAATTAGTTTGCTTGCATGAACATGTTGGTGTGTTGTTTTTTTTTAACCAGTACCTCTTTAATATTTTTCCTTAGAAATGTTACAGCCTTTTCTTTTTGCATGCTTTCATTTCATTGTGTCAAGATTTGTCAAGTCTTGTGCCTAATTTTTTAAGTTTGAATTTAAAAGTATTACTTTTATTACTAAGAAAAATTTACAACAGAGTTAATGGAAAAATAGCACCTCATTAAAAGCTGGTTAGACATAGGACATTTCTTCATTTGTGAATGTTGAAAAGCAATTCATAATCCTTTGCCTACAGCTGTATGTTGTGAGTAATCAGAGGAACCAGGGTCTCTTGGTTTTTAGATACAGATAGTGCTGCATGGCCTGCATTACTATAAAGAGACATCCAGTATGCATTTGGTTAATGCCTGTGTCTGGATGATGGGCTATAGTGTTAACATCGCACTGCAGAAAGCTACTTTGTCACTTAAAAGAATACAGAATTAGCTGGAAAAAAATGCATGATGATATATGAATTTTCCCGTCTGGCTAAATATAGCTGAATAGCTGTGCCTACCTTTTTTCATCCATATTTTTGTAGTAATTGATGTTAAATATGTACTCAAAACCAGTTGTCACAAGTCATGTCTTCATAAGCAATGTTGGGTTTTTACAAGGATTTATTTGTAAGTCTAGATTACTTGTTTGTTTGGGAAATCATTGTGAAGCAGGAAGAACTGCAACTTAGACTCACAATTTGTATTTTTAGCTTCACGTAGGCAATCTAAACTGGCTTTTAGATTAAAAGCTTGAATGCCAGTGTTTATATTCCCTTACTTATGTATATTTTTTGAGTCTATATCATGTGAGCAGTTGGACACTCTTCAGCCTTTGGTAGGACTTGTTCAGCATTTGCAGTGCATCACTCTGTCGATGATACTGATTCTTGACAAATCAGAAACCAGTAGATTCCATTCACTAAACATTTGTAGTTCATTTGCATGGGTTTGTTTTATTTTCCTGCATGCTTCTTGCCCTTCTCTGGGAATGATTTGTAGACTCTGTTTCATCCACACAAATCTATAACAAGGAAATGTGTGAAGAAATGTGTAGTGTTTGACACTGACTCATTTGTAGCACTGAGTCAATCCCTTTATGTCTC